TGGAACTGGATGAATGGATGGATGGAGGGAACTGGATGAATGGATGGATGGAGGGAACTGGATGAATGGATGGATGGAGGGAACTGGATGAATGGATGGATGGAGGGAACTGGATGAATGGATGGATGGAGGGAACTGGATGAATGGATGGATGGAGGGAACTGGATGAATGGAGGGAACTGGATGAATGGATGGATGGAGGGAACTGGATGAATGGATGGATGGAGGGAACTGGATGAATGGATGGATGGAGGGAACTGGATGAATGGATGGATGGAGGGAACTGGATGAATGGATGGATGGAGGGAACTGGATGAATGGATGGATGGAGGGAACTGGATGAATGGATGGATGGAGGGAACTGGATGAATGGATGGATGGAGGGAACTGGATGAATGGATGGATGGATGGAACTGGATGAATGGATGGATGGATGGAACTGGATGGATGGATGGAGGGAACTGGATGGATGGATGGATGGAGGGAACTGGATGGATGGATGGATGGAGGGAACTGGATGGATGGATGGATGGAGGGAACTGGATGGATGGATGGATGGAGGGAACTGGATGGATGGATGGATGGAGGGAACTGGATGGATGGATGGATGGAGGGAACTGGATGGATGGAACTGGATGGATGGATGGATGGAACTGGATGGATGGATGGAACTGGATGGATGGATGGAACTGGATGGATGGAACTGGATGGATGGATGGAACTGGATGGATGGATGGAACTGGATGGATGGATGGAACTGGATGGATGGATGGAACTGGATGGATGGATGGAAGGAGGGAACTGGATGGATGGATGGAGGGAACTGGATGGATGGAGGGAACTGGATGGATGGATGGAGGGAACTGGATGGATGGATGGAGGGAACTGGATGGATGGATGGAGGGAACTGGATGGATGGGTGGAGGGACCTAGATGGATGGATGGAACTGGATGGATGGAACTGGATGGATGGAGGGAACCTGGATGGATGGAGGGAACCTGGATGGATGGAGGGAACTGGATGGATGGATGGATGGAGGGAACTGGATGGATGGATGGATGGAGGGAACTGGATGGATGGATGGATGGAGGGAACTGGATGGATGGATGGAACTCGATGGATGGATGGATGGAGGGAACTCGATGGATGGATGGATGGAGGGAACTGGATGGATGGAGGGAACCTGGATGGATGGATAGGCAGGGGGGGTGGATGGATGGTGGAAGGGGACTGGATTGATGGATGGTGAGGGGGAATGGATGGATGGGTGGTTAGAGGACTGAATGGATGGGTGTTTAGGGGACAATGGATGGACAGTGGGAGAACTGGATGGATAGGGAGGGTGGATGGATGGATGGATAAGGAGGGTGGGTGGATGGATGGATAAGGGGTGAGTGGATGGATAAAGGGTGAGTGGATGAATGGATGGATGGATGGATAAGGGGGGGTGGATGAATGGTGGAGGGGGGACTGGATGGATGGTGGGAGGGACTGGATGGGTGGATAGATGGATGGTGCAGGAATTGGATGGATGGTGGGAAGGAATGGATGGGTGTATGGATAGTGCAGGGACTGGATAGATGGATGGTGGGGAAACTAGAGGAATGGTGGAGGTAACTGGATTGATGGATAGGGGGGGTGGATGGATGGATAGGGGATGGATGGATAAATGGATGGATAGGGGGGTGGATGGATGGATAGATAGGGGGTGGATGGATGGATAGGGGGGGGTGGATGGATGGATAGGGGATGGATGGATAGGGGGTGGATGGATGGATAGGGGTGGGTGGATGGATGGGGGGTGGATGGATGGATGGGGGGTGGATGGATGGATAGGGGGGTGGATGGATGGATAGGGGGGTGGATGGATGGATGGATAGGGGGTGGATGGATGGATAGGGGGATGGATGGATAGGGGGGTGGATGGATGGATAGGGGGTGGATGGATGGATAGGGGGATGGATGGATGGATAGGGGGGTGAATGGATGGATAGGGGGGGGGTGAATGGATGGATGGATAGGGGGGGTGAATGGATGGATGGATAGGGGGGGTGAATGGATGGATGGATAGGGGGGTGAATGGATGGATGGATAGGGGGGGTGAATGGATGGATGGATAGGGGGTGGATGGATGGATGGGGGTGGATGGATGGATGGGGGGGTGGATGGATAGGGGGGGTGGATGGATGAATGGATGGCAGGGTAGATGGATGGATAGGGGGGTTGATGGATGGATAGGGGGGTTTGATGGATGGATAGGGGGATGGATGGATGGATAGGGGGGTGGGTGGATGGATGGATAGGGGGGTGGATGGATGGATGGATAGGGGGGTGGATGGATGGATGGATATGGGGGGTGGATGGATGGATAGATAGGGAGGGTGGATGGATGGATAGATAGGGAGGGTGGATGGATGGATAGGGGGGGTGGATGGATGGATAGGGGGGATGGATGGATAGGGGGGGTGGATGGATGGATGGATGGATGGATAGGGGGTGGATGGATGGATGTATAGGGGGGGTGGATGGATGGATGGATAGGGGGGTGGATGGATGGATGGATAGGGGGGGTGGATGGATGGATAGGGGGGTGGATGGATGGATAGGGGGGTGGATGGATGGATGGATAGGGGGGATGGATGGATGGATAGGGGGGATGGATGGATGGATAGGGGGGATGGATGGATAGGGGGGTGGATGGATGGATGGTGGTGGGGGACTGGATGGATGGTGGGGTGAACCTCCATGCCCGACACCGCACCCCCTCTCCACTATCCCCCTCCTGCCCATGGACTCTCTGCTACCTCCATCCCCCCCTCACACTGAACCCCTCCCAGCTGTACCCTCCCAGCCACATCCATACAGTGTCAGTACAGAAGGCTTCAGTTGCTACCACAACTGTGAATGCTTGACTGCCTTTGGTTATGACTGCCTGTGACTGGTCTTGACTGTGAATGCTTGACTGACTTGTGAATGGTTCTGACTGGCTGCCACATAACAGACGGTGAAATGTTTGAAAGGAAAATCATGGGTTCATATCCTGGCCGGGGAGGATTTACTGGGCGCAATTCCTTAACTGTAGCCTCTGTTTAACGCAACAATAAAATGTGTACTTGGATGAAAAAACGATTCTTCGCGGCAGGGGATCGTATTCCAGGGACCTGCCCGAAATGCTACGCGTACTAGTGGCTCTACAAGAATGTAACAACTCTTGTATATATCTCAAAAAAAAAAAAAAAATCTGGAACCAGTGATGTAGATACGAAAGTGTTTAAGGCAAGCAGCGGATGGTCTCACCAACACCGCTCCTCCCTCCTCTTCACCCTCCCCATACACCAACACTGTTCCTCTCTCCTCCTCACCCTCCCCATACACCAACACTGTTCCTCTCTCCTCACCCTCCCCATACACCAACACTGTTCCTCCCTCCCTCTTCACCCTCCCCATACACCAACACTGTTCCTCTCTCCTCCTCAGCCTCCCCATACACCAACACTGTTCCTCTCTTCTCCTCACCCTCCCCATACACCAACACTGTTCCTCTCTTCTCCTCACCCTCCCCATACACCAACACTGTTCCTCTCTCCTCCTCACCCTCCCCATACACCAACACTGTTCCTCTCTCCTCCTCACCCTCCCCATACACCAACACTGTTCCTCTCTCCTCCTCACCCTCCCCATACACCAACACTGTTCCTCTCTCCTCCTCACCCTCCCCATACACCAACACTGTTCCTCTCTCCTCCTCACCCTCCCCATACACCAACACTGTTCCTCTCTCCTCCTCACCCTCCCCATACACCAACACTGTTCCTCCCTCCTCCTCACCCTCCCCATACACCAACACTGTTCCTCCCTCCTCCTCACCCTCCCCATACACCAACACTGTTCCTCCCTCCTCCTCACCCTCCCCATACACCAACACTGTTCCTCCCTCCTCCTCACCCTCCCCATACACCAACACTGTTCCTCCCTCCTCCTCACCCTCCCCATACACCAACACTGTTCCTCCCTCCTCCTCACCCTCCCCATACACCAACACTGTTCCTCTCTCCTCACCCTCCCTATACACTTGGCGGTGGACTATATGTATTTATGATCATTGGTTTATCATCCTCATGGCAGATCTCTAGTGCTATTACTTCAACTTCTTGTGGATTGGCAATCATTATTTTGTTTACCTTTAGATGTTCTTTCACCAGCACAGCAACACCAATGCCTTTTTTAATTTTTCTATCCTGTCTCCAAACTGAGTAGCCCCTTGGGAATATGACCTCATTTAAAATATCATCTTCAAGTTTTGTCTACGTGAGTGCAACAATGTCTGGTGTCTGCAGCTGTATTACATCACTTAACTCCAGTATCTTTGATCTCACTCCATCTACATTGGAGTATACAATTTTCAGGAACATGTTCCCCCTCTCCTTATTCTTCACTCCCCCTCTCTCTAGCAATTTTGTTGGTTTGCCTTTTTGTACCATTTTACTGGCCTGCCTACCCCTATCACTTTGTAGAAAAAAGAATTGATTTCTTCTTCGTTTCTGCTCTCATTTAGACGTTTTGCCTCTACGAGGTTTAGTTTTAGCTTCTCTGTCTTCTCTTGAAAGATCTCGTCTTAACGACCACACTTTCCCATCCTAATCACTTTGTAATTTTCTAGCATTCCATAGTACTACTTCCATCTGTTTGGCACCGTTTAGGGTGATCCTCAAATGTCGATCTATCCCTATTATGTACCTGCCTATTCTCCTGTAGTCACACATTCTCAATGGTAGTAAGACCTTCCACGAGGCCAACAATTTTATCTACTACTTTCACTTCTTCTACAACTCTTTCTGACCTAGATGTAACCTCCTTTTCTTTGCAACCAAAAAGTGTGTGTGTGAGGGGGGGGGGGTGTTTTCAGCATGTAACTGTGACTTATTCTTTGTATAATAAAATGTATTTGTTTATATACACATCACAAACATTTTCATTTGAAAAAGAACTGAGGACTTACTTTGTTGGGTCCATACTGGCAGACAAATTCACCATGCGAGGTCCCATTTTGCCCCGCTCGTTCTTCTCCCAGCCAAGAAATGGTGGCAAGTCAGGTGGATTGTCTGGGTCATCTATCCTTCCTAAATCCACTTCAAGTACAAGACTGTGAGTTGCATCTTTAATGCCGTTTCTTATTCGTATTCGCAGGCACAGAATCTTGTGAGTGGACCACAAGTTTGACCTGATTAAAAATTAATATTTCATCAGATAAAGTTACACTAATTTTAAGAAATTAATGTGTTTTTTAAATTTACTAATGTGATTATTTATATATATATATATATATATATATATATATATATATATATATATATATATATATATATATATATATATATATATATATATATATATATATATATATATGTCGTACCTAGTAGCCAGAACGCACTTCTCAGCCTACTATGCAAGGCCCGATTTGCCTAATAAGCCAAGTTTTCCTGAATTAATATATTTTCTCAAATTTTTTTCTTATGAAATGATAAAGCTACCCATTTCATTATGTATGACGTCAATTTTTTTTATTGGAGTTAAAATTAACGTAGATATATGACCGAACCTAACCAACCCTACCTAACCTAACCTATCTTTATAGGTTAGGTTAGGTTAGGTACCAGAAAAAGTTAGGTTAGGTTAGGTAGGTTAGGTAGTCGAAAAACAATTAATTCATGAAAACTTGGCCTATTACGCAAATCGGGCCTTGCATAGTAGGCTGAGAAGTGCGTTCTGGCTATTAGGTACGATATTATATATATATATATATATATATATATATATATATATATATATATATATATATATATATATATATATATATATATATATATATATATATATATATATATATATATATATATAATAAATAATAATAATAATGCTGTACCTAGTGGCCAGAACGCAGTACTCGGCCTAATATGCAAGGCCCAATTTCCCTAATAAGCCAAGATTTCCTGAATTTATATATTTTTCAATTTTTTTCTTATGAAATGATAAAGTTATCCATTTCATTATGTATGAGTTAATTTGTTAAAACTTGAGTTAAAACTAACGTAGCTATATGACCGAACCTAACCAACCCTACCTAACCTAACAAACTAACACAACCAAGTCAATAATTTGTTCTTAATATAACAATAATAATTAAAATAAACTAATTGGAAACAATTTATTGAAATTAAAGAGAATCACTCTGCCAATTAGGCAAATCGGGCCTTGCACAGTAGGCCGAGAAGTGCCTTCTGGCTACTAGATACGACATTTATTTATATATCATTAAATTATATATATGTATGTATGTACTGTATGAATGTACTATATGTATGTACTGTATGAATGTACTATATGTATGTACTGTATGTATGTACGCATGTACAGTACAACCTTGATTTGGCACACTATATGGGACCAACCCCAGTTCACTGCAGTGATGGATTCATTGCAAGAGGTGACCTTCAGGAGGTGTTTGCATCAGTTTTTTTTCTTGTACACAAAAATGCATCATCATATTATATACTGTACCTATATATTACTACTCTACTAAAAAAAAACCAGCGTTGAATGTAATGGAACGCCATTTTCTGCGTGAGCCCCGGAGGCTCCCTGGAGCTTATCGGGCTAATGTATGTTATATTAGACCGGGACATTAGCCAAGGAGTTCAGACCTACCAGGGACCAGCACCAGAACCTGGCCCCTTCAGAGAGGTTTCAGGGAGCAAGGGCCCTGGAAAACCCCCTTATGGTTGGGGTTTTCCTTATCTGCCATCGACTGGGGTTAGGCACCCAGAAAGGTAGGCATAACAAAACAAACCCCGCATGGTAAAAAACTAAAACATAAAACCGAACAGAGGTAGAAACTCCTTACAATCCCAAGGAAACAAGAAAACAAGCAAACATCACACTTTACTGCCGCGCCGATCGTCCACACAGCCCTCCTTGCCCCGAGAGGGGATGGGGGGAGCCCCGGACCTCACCGCGCCGGCTGCCTAGCATCAGTTCGGAAGCTAAGCTTCAACCAACGCGAAAAAACACTGAATGGTGGGAGGGAGGGTTGCCAGGGAGCCCCCGGGGCTCACCCAGAATATGGCGTTTCATTACATTCAACTCTAGTTTTCTGTGGCGAGCCCCTACGGCTCCCTGGAGCTTCATACCCAAAGAGAAGGAAAAGAAAGGGCTGACCCAGGAGGCGGCCGCCACAAACTCTGCAACGCGAAGCCGAGACAACAGGCTGCAACCTATGACCCAAGGCAACAAGAACGCACAGTAGCAGACATGCGCATAAAGAACGGATGGCCAGGAACCTGTGCGACCCTCAAATCCCCGTGCCCGAAATGAGCCCTAGATGTCACCAACACTGCAGCAAAAGCTGCAAACGTCCAAACAGCACGGGCGCAAGGATAGACCACAGGCTGGAAGACTTAAAAACTCTGCGGACGACCTGGGAGACCCGAGCCCTGAAACAGGGAACGAGGGGAACCAGATCAACCCAAAGCGCATCCCCAGACATGGTACGCAGGTAACAGCAAAGAGGCGCAACCGGACAACACAGGACGCACCCCTGGCCGAACCAATCAAGCATCAATAACCCAAGGACTCCTCAGGAAAGCAGCCATCTCGACCGTCGCCAGAAGGCATAAAAAAAGAGGCTGCAAATGTACAAACCTACCACCAGTACCAAAGAGCAGAAACCTCTGTACTGGAAGAGCCGGAAGCTCCCCGACCCGCAGAGGCCCATGCCTATGGCCTATGAAAGATGGCCTATGAAAACCAAACTTGAACTGAAGGGGTTACCACAAACTGAGAAGATGATAAGAGGGCACCCTGATCAAGGACCAGGACGGCTCAGGCGACGCATGAGCAGGCCAGAGGTGAAACAAGACACGAGAAATCATACGGAATGGGGCAGATGTGACGTCCACCCGGAAACGCAATTTTGTGCGGCTCCGCCAGCGCCACACAAAACGAGGCGACAGTAAGACGCATCAAATAACTAGTCCTGAAAACCCAAGAAAGGACAAGACAATCCGATGCAAAAGAGAAGACAACTGTTACGACCCTGGGTTCCTCAGTTGGAAACCAGAGGTCAAATTGAGCTAAATAAACTACTTTATATTATGTGATGCGCTGGTCGACGTGTGTCTGTCTGTATCTTCCCTGCCAGATGATTCTTGTTTCTCACAGAGCATTTAAAGACTGAGCTGGTGGTTAATTATTAATTATTAAAATAGGCATTAACTATGTTTACAAATGATTAGAAAGTATTAGTAAAGTAGATCTGAGTAAACTTGGATATAGGGCCGCTGTACGATTAGCTGAGTAGTCGGCCGGCAGCGAGTCAGCTGATGGGAGCTGAAACTCGTGGCTAGCTTTCTTCTCTGGGCTGGCGTCGTGGTGAAAACAACCTTCTCCCCTTCCTACTGCTACTCTCCCTTACCTATTTCTGTGTCTAGTTTACCAAGATAATAAGTACTGTATTGTGTCCTCATTTTCTGGCATAAGCGTGTTCTATGTGTAGAGTATTACTGTGTATTAATTAGGTGATCACTAGTGTTTATATTGCTAAGTTACTCTAAGGGGGTCCCAGTGGAACCACGTGGGCTCCAGTAGTACCAGTAAGCTACCTAGAGTCTTTGCTAGTGTCCCTTGCCTAATAGACTTTACCCTAGCTTGTGCTCATTGTAAAACCTTGTATCCTGCTTATGTTGACCAAGGCTTTTAACGTAAGATAGTGTGGTAAAATAATTATTGTTATTGGTGTGAATGTATATGGGGGGTTGTTAAGGGGTTAATAAATAAGTTAGTTAGTTTTAAAGGAGTATCCATTCATTCTGAGTAGGAGATCTATGATCTACCTCTAGGTTGACATTTTCAGTAAGCCACTATAATTATTACTCTTATATTTTTATTGGGGGGCCGGGCCTTTAAGATCTCCATTACTTTGGATACATCTTGATGCTTACTGCTGACCCTACACCAATATAATACTAGATCCCCCATAGCACACACATTAAACCGTAACAACAACCTACGAAGAGCAAGAAAAAGGTGCATAGAAAACACCAGGAACGTCATACTGTCGCTGAGACGAAGCTCACAGGTTGGACACCATGAACGAAGCCATCTGATCACCATAGAGATGGTGATACCCGTGTCAAAATACCAAATGTGAAGAGCCAAGGAGAAGGCCAAACCAGTCACGTATAGGACCGGTCCGACCTGCCGAAAGAGGCGGAGCCACGGGAAAACGCCCCGGGTTTGGACCCCTATCAAGCAGCGTCTGAAAATAAAGCTGGGCTGGCCACCAAGGGACCATGAGGACTACTCTCATTGGGAATGGACTTCAACCGAGCCAAAACCCAAAGCAACAGCTGGACCGGGAGAAGAGGAACAGATACCCCTACCTCAACCAGTCCTGCCGAAAGGCATCCAGCGTGAACACCTCACAGGCGGGTAAGGGGGCCATGTACAATGGGTGATGCCTAGACCACGCCAACGCGAAGATGTCCATGGCCAGGAGTCAATACGTTCGGCAGAGCCAACGAAACGAGTCGGCGACGACTGGCCAATCCGCAAACATAGGAATGAACCGAGACAGGCTTTCCGCCAAGACGTAGGACACACCCCGGACATGAACCTCATGGTTAGCCAAACCCAGAGAATCCAGCAAACGAGCCACTCGAAGGGACCAACCCCAAAGGTCAAACACCTAAGAGAAACCCTGTTTCTCTTAGGTGTTCTCTTTCTCTTTCACAACAGTCAGTGTGGATGGAGTTCTAGGCCTACCAGGGACCACAAGCCAGAACCTGGGCCTCTCAGAGAGGCACGAGGAACAATGGCCTATAGAAATGCACATGTGATTAGGAGCATTCTATATCTGCCCTCAACCAGAACAGGCACCCAGAAAAATAAGCGCCCCAAAACAAACCCTATTCTGGTTAAAACAACGAAAATAGCCAAACGAGTGGACAGAACTCCAAATGAAAAGAAGCAATCAAGCAAGACCCCGTGAGGGGAATGGGGAAACCCAGACCCACTGCGCTGGTGATCCAAGCACTAGTGCTTAGGCTGGATGTTAAAACACGTGAAAACCGCTGACCTGGGGAAGGGAGGGTTGCCGGTGAGCCTCCGGAACTCACCCAAAAAATGTCCTTTTATTACATTCGACGCTGGTTTTCTGGGGGAAGC